CCCTAACATAGTACGCTGGTAAAGTTTAGAACGTATAAGTATCGATACATTTCATAAAATAAAAGAGTCAGGCTAACATCGAAAATTAGGTACATCTACAAAATTAAATTTTAGCATATCACGGCTAACCTAATCTTAATCCTAGCACTTATCCTTACCAGAGATACGAGTTTTAAAAATGTAAAGTTTCAACAGTGCAAGCGTTTCTACAAGAACTTTAAGACCGGCGGCTGTTCTAAAATAGAGCAGACAGATTTTAAAGTATCTTAAAGCTAAGCCTTGAGCTTTCGCTAACCTAATCCAGACCCTAAGTGTCTAATACTCTGCCCCGAATTTTAAACCCCAATACCAAAAAAAAAAAAAAACACAACCCAATCCGTTAGTTTTTCATCTTACTCCAAATAACTGAACCCAACCCTTTATCTCATTTTGGTCCTTATAAAAAGTCACATTACTGAACCAAACCATTACGTGTTCTTTATCTTATCCCAAATAACCGAACCCAACCCTCTTCCTCATCCTAAAATCAATAAATCAGGTCCTTTAAAAAATCCATACTACTGACCCCAACCCTTTACCTTATTTTCAATTACTGAATCCAACCCTTTTCCTCATCCCAAAATCAACGCATCTTGCTCTTATAAAATCCTTACTACTGAACCCAACCCTTTTCCCAATCCCAAAATCAACGCATCTGGCTCAGATAACAATCCTATACAACCCTATTATCGAACCCAACCCTAACGTGTCCATCCCCTTACCCCCCCCCCCCCCCCCCCCCCCAAAAAAAAAGTAATCACCGAAAAAGTTGATTGACAAGCCTAATTAATTTTTCTTCTCTCGGTCGAGACAAAGGCTGACCACTATCTCAGCAGTGCCATATTTCTAATATACCTTACCAGCGGACCCCCCCCCCACCCTTCCAGCACACCCACTATGTTACTATTCCACCCATCTAGAACCCACTTTCACATGAATAAACGTAGTCAGCGTAACGCCCACGTAGTCGACTTTGACCCCCCCCCCCCGTAGTCAACGTATCACCCACGTAGTCGACTTTCACAATGTTCATTCATAACCCCCCCCTATGTAGTCAACGTAGAACCTATATTCGACTGTTACAATGTTCATTTATAAACTCAAACCCCCCCCCCCACCTCTAGCCTACAATTTTCTTTTCCCCTCCCACTCAACAACCAAGCACTCCCATCCTCATGCTCTGAATATCAACAAGCCCATTACACCACGATGTCACCTAAAAAAAAAAAAAATCTACGATAAAGATATTAGAGAGGACTGATATTACCTATTTTCGACACGACGTTTTCGAAAATATCTGTGTTATGATTAGGAATTATGGTTCGAGCTATGGTAGGACTTGGTTTAGGATTAGCATTGACATTTGCAAGTAATTTTGGACTTAATTTGGTTTAACTGCCAGTAATCTAACCCCACCCCCACCTTTTTCTAAAAAAAGATGAGTCTATATTATTGTGGCACTATCGGACACAAGTTATACCACATTTCAGACACCGGTATAACACAAATCGGACACTGGTATAACATATTTCGGACACAGATATAACACCTATCGGATACAGGTGTAACACATACACCGACATAAGTTCAACATACACCGCCCGTAAAGCAACATGCAACGCCGTTAAATACTGCCTTAACGTTCGTATTTGACAAGAATCAAGAAGTGTGTATAAACATTTAATTTCTAACCGTAAAAAAAGTATAATTCTAATTTATATCAAAAAAGAAACGAAAGAAAACAAAAATCTCGACTTACCGATTTCAACACAAAGAGTGAAATAAACCTTATAAATCGAGTTAGTGACAGTGAAAATATTTAAGTCCAACCCATTGTCTTACACGGCCACGACTACCATTCATTCCGTGAAATTTTTAAAATTTAAAACAGCTACCGTCTGCACCACACACACACACAAGACAAACGAAGCCACGAACACTAATCTAGCACTCAGGGGAGGTTACCCCCTTTTTTTCTCTCTTTCAAGACAAACTGTGTCACATCAAGGGGAGAGAACACCACCATGCGTGAACTTTAACCCATATATTGGGGGTTGTGTTGTTGGCTGGTGAAGAAACAGGTTGGTCGAGTAAAGGGGACAAATTAAATATATTTTTTAAAATATTTCCTTTCGCAGGCACTTTAAGTTTTTCAATGGAAGAAGTGCTACATGATTTCAGGGAAAGATTTAAGGGTATTGTTTCGGTCATTTAGATCCACACATATTTAAATAGAATCTATATACCAGACGGATAAAATAATGTACATGTTCTCAGGGTCTTATTTTCAGGTAATTGTCTCTATACGTGGTACCCCACTTTTTGAGAGCCACTGAACAACCAATATACTAACAATGTCAATAAAAATGCAAATGTTCCCATGGTAAAATTTTCGGGGTATTTTCTCTTTTACGCGGTATCACACTTTTTGAGAATCACTGAACAACCAATATACTAAGAGTGAGATAAAAATGTAAATGTTCCCAGGGTTACATTTTCGGGGTACTTTCTCTTTAAGTGGTACCCCACTTTTTGAGAACCTCTAAACAACTAATCTACTAACAGTGAGATTTAAATGTACATATTCTCACGAAAAGATTTTCGGGGTATTTTCTCTTTAACCCACTTTTTGAGAACCACTGAGATACGGTTCAATAGTTCGGAGATTTTAAACGTGTGCTAATTTTTTAAAAAATGAGGTTAAAAATCGAGCAGACTCATAGCAATCACAGCTGTGTTATGTGGAACTCTTCCCCCCCCCCCCACTTCACACACATACACGCACACACATATACTGCTCAAAGTTAAATGAAGTTAGTAATTTACATGCAGTCTGTGGTCTTACAATCAAGGACTAGTAAAACACTATGATAAATAACTGTAGTTAGTAAAGTATTATTATAAGCTTAATTCGTAAGATTTTAATTTCTTTAGTGTAGTATGTACCTATTCGCAACCTTATGTTTACAATAATTTAAAAAAGGTAATTGAAAACGTAGTTGAATTTAATGTAATTAATAATGTAAATATAGTCTGTAAAAATAAAAAATTAAATTAAATAATAGGGCCTACTACATTTAAAATTTCAAACAAAGTTCGTACAATGTGATTTAGTTTCAAATTATTTATAATTTCAATATAGTTAGTAAAACATTTTACATTTTTAAAAATAAAAATTCATAATTAAAAGATAGTTTGTAAAATATAATTTGAAATAACGTATAATGTAATTATTATTTGTTAAATATCAATTTAAAATAATGTTTAACGTAAATAAGTTATCAATTTAAAATAATATATCACGCAAATAAGTTTGTAAAATGATTTTAAATTGAAAGAGACATAAGATTCTTACTACAACTACCATCATGCAAATTACCTCCATGTTAAACCTCATCGATGAGTTGCTAGGCGACAGTTACCACGGGGATGGCATTAAATTAATGGATGGACGACCATTGCAGTCACGTCCTGTATCGACTTAATTAGTCGGAAGTTCGTGGGTATAAATGGAAATGTAGGGTCCATGGTAGGAAGGTTTATATAAGAGCAGAGTTTTTATTCGTTAAATGAAAGTGTAGGTCTACGGGTAAGTAGGTTTATACAAGAGTAGGGTTTATATAAGTTAGCTGATGTTAACATTAGTTAATGAAAGTGTAGGTCTACGGGTAAGTAGGTTTATACAAGGGTAGGGTTTATATAAGTGACCTGATGTTAACATTAGTTAATGAAAGTGTAGGTCTACGGGTAAGTAGGTTCACATACGTTAAATGAAAGTAAAGATCCAAGGATAGGTAGGTTTATATAAGGGTAGAGTTTACATACGTTAAATGATAGTGTAGGTCTACGGGTAAGAAGGTTTATACAAGGTTAGGGCTTATATAAGTGAGCTGATGTTAACATTAGTTAATGAAAGTGTCGTTCTATGGGTAGGTAGGTTTATACAAGGTTAGGGCTTATATAAGTGAGCTGATGTTAACCTTAGTTAATGAAAGTGTCGGTCTATGGGTAAGAAGGTTTATACAAGGTTAGGGCTTATATAAGTGAGCTGATGTTAACATTAGTTAATGAAAGTGTCGTTCTATGGGTAGGTAGGTTTATACAAGGTTATAAGGGTTTATATAAGTGAGCTGATGTTAACCTTAGTTAATGAAAGTGTCGGTCTATGGGTAGGTAGGTTTATACAAGGTTAGGGCTTATATAAGTGAGCTGATGTTAACATTAGTTAATGAAAGTGTCGGTCTATGGGTAGGTAGGTTTATACAAGGTTAGGGCTTATATAAGTGAGCTGATGTTAACATTAGTTAATGAAAGTGTCTATGGGTAGGTAGGTTTATACAAGGGTAGGGTTTACATTACGTTAAATGAAAGTATAGTTCTACGGGTAGGTAGGTTTATACAAGAGTAGGGTTTACATACGTTAAATGAAAGTGGAGGTTGACGTATAGGTAGGTTTATACAAGTAGGTTTGTTTTCCCTAACGTGACTTAGGTAGGCTACCTATCAGGGACATGATGAGTAAATGGTTTGTGTGTAGTGTGTTCCTTTATTTTTGTGTGTATTGTGTTCCATATGATCCTGTATGTTTGTGTGTGGTGAGGCCTCGATCTTATGTACATCAGCGTTGTTGAGTGACGGCCCTTAGTAAGTATAGTCAGAACTATTGTTAACAAGGTTTCTTTCAGTAATTTTTTTTTCTCTGCGGGCAATGAGTGGGGAGCGGAGCCTGAAAGAATCTCTTAATGTAAATCCTATAGAAATTCCACTCTCCCCAAAAGATAACCCAAAAAAAAAGCAAGACACCCCCCCCCCCCTTTTTTTTTTTTTTTTTTTTTTTTTTTTTTTTTTTTTTCTGAAAGAAATCTGAATTGGAACTCCTGAACTTCTTAGGAATCCCGTCATGTCCTTGCCTATCACCGAGCATGCGCAAACGCGCTGACGTCACGTGAACGATAACAACGATGGAGTGCGCAGGACGGGGGTCTCGCTGTGTTGCACCGGAAGTGAGCTCAGTAAACAAACAAACGCACGTGGAAACCCGCGGCGTGGAGCCTCCGTACACGCACAAGCCGACAGAAAGACAGGCCGACAGAAAGACAGGCCGACAGAAAGACAGGCCGACAGAAAGACAGGCCGACAGAAAGACAGGCCGACAGAAAGACAGGCCGACAGAAAGAGAAGCCGGCAGAAAGACAGGCCGACAGAAAGACAGGCCGACAGAAAAAGAAGCCGACAGAAAGAGAAGCCGACAGAAAGACAGGCCGACAGAAAGACAGGCCGACAGAAAGACAGGCCGACAGAAAGACAGGCCGACAGAAAGACAGGCCGACAGAAAGACAGGTAGACAGAAAGACAGGCCGACAGAAAGACAGGCCGACAGAAAGACAGACAGAAAGACAGGCCGACAGAAAGAGAAGCCGACAGAAAGACAAGCCGACAGAAAGACAGGCCGACAGAAAGACAAGCCGACAGAAAGACAGGCCGACAGAAAGACAGGCCGACAGAAAGACAAGCCGACAGAAAGACAGGCCGACAGAAAGACAGGCCGACAGAAAGACAGGCCGACAGAAAGACAAGCCGACAGAAAGACAGGCCGACAGAAAGAGAAGCCGGCAGAAAGACAGGCCGACACAAAGACAGGCCGACACAGGCAGACAGAAAGACAAGCCGACAGAAAGACAGGCCGACAAAAAGACAGGCCGACAGAAAGACAGGCCGACAGAAAGACAAGCCGACAGAAAGACAAGCCGACAGAAAGACAGGCCGACAGAAAGACAGGCAGACAGAAAGACAGGCCGACAGAAAGACAGGCCGACAGAAAGACAGAAAGACAGGCCGACAGAAAAACAGGCCGACAGAAAAACAGGCCGACAGAAAGACAATCCGACAGAAAGATAGGCAGACAGAAAGACAGGCCGACAGAAAAACAGGCCGACAGAAAGACAATCCGACAGAAAGACAGGCCGACAGAAAGACAAGCCGACGCAGACAGATAGAAACAGACAGAAGGACAGACACAGACAGAAGAAGACAGGCTGACAAAGGCAGAAGGACAGACAGACACAGACAGAAGAAGACAGGCCGACACAGGCAGAAGAAGACAGGCCGACAAAGGCAGAAGGACAGACAGACACAGACAGAAGAAGACAGACACAGGCAGAAAGACAGGCCGACACATGCAGAAGGAGACATGCAGACATACGCAGAAGGAGACACACTTTGCACAAGGCACAGACAAAAGCAATTTAAAAAACAAAAAACACGGATCAGACAACTGTAGGGGGGAATACTGAGCTGCAGAACGTCCTATCCTCTCCCTCAACACCACCACTGAAAATATGTGTGCTAATGTTTATTCTTATTTTTTTTTTAAACAAACACATACATACACAGCCAAGCGTCGCTTGCTGACTTGGAATTGGATCTCAATTGTCATAAGACACACACAAACAAAAGGCACTCTAAATTTATCTAATAGTAGTAATAGAGACCAATATTGAAAAATGTTGGCATACACTACACTCAGTGTTTCTTTCAGTCTTTTTTTCCTGGGGGGGGGGGGGGGGGTCGGGGCGGACTAACTTTTCCGGGGACGGGTAAAAGTATATATTTTCTATTTAAATTCTATTGTATTCGGGTGAGGGAAGGGGGGGGGGGGGGGGTAGACGTGCTTCGCCCCCACCACACGAAGATATGCCAGAAAGAAAAACTCACTTCACCAACCACACGCAACTCAATTTCATTGACTGGAACCGAGTTGCACATGAAGCGAGCAAAATGTTGAAGTTGTGGTCAACACAAGGGATGAAGCGAGCAAAATGTTGAAGCTCTGGTCAACACAAGAGATGAAGCGAGCAAAATGTTGAAGTTGTGGTCAACACAAGGGATGAAGCGAGCAAAATGTTAAAGTTGTGGTCAACACAACGGATGAAGCGAGCAAAATGTTAAAGTTGTGGTCAACACAAGGGATAAAGCGTACAGTCTCACGCCCCAGTTTTTAAACTGCTGACACTAGAACACTGCGCCAGGCAATAGTTTATGACTATTGTCAGAGAACAGAAACGTAAGGCGTGGAGCGAGGGGTACCTGTTTAATGGGTTTTACAGAAGGGCATGCGTCAACAGGAGTCATAGTGCTAGCCAAACAATCCTTTACATGAACACTACCCCACACTGCCCCCTCCCCCACAATGCACTTACAGTACCCCACTCTATACCCACCCACAGTAACCCACACTGCCCCCACAGTATCCCACACTGCACCCACACACAGTATCCCACAGTATCCCAAACTGCACCTACCTACAGTACCCCACACTGCCCCCCCCCACAAACCCACACTGCGCCCACAGTAACCCTCACAGTCCCCCCCCCCCCCACAATACCCCCACAGTACACCACACTGCCCCCTCCACCACACTGCATCCACACAGCCCCCCACACAGTACTCCACCATGATCCCTTAGTGCAGCCATAGTACCCCCCCTTCCTTACTTCACCCTCCATCCCTCATGCCCGCACAGTGCACCCAAGTTGCACTACCTTACATCCACGTTGCACCACCTTTCACATATACATCATCTACATTGCAAAACCCTGCACCCACAATACCTTAATAAACAAATAATCAAGTTCAATACGAGCAGATTCTAATCTACTTTAAAAGCAACCATTACTCCCTTGGGAGTACCTTTGACTTTTTGAATATAAAAACAGATCAATGACACAGACGAACTCTACTGTACATATGGACCGACGGGTCAGAATGAATAGTGTACCTTTATTTTTTAGTAAAGGCCTACACTTAAACGAATTTTAATCGGAGAAAACGAAAAAAAAAAAAAACTCCAACCCCATAAAACCGTGCTATTTTATTCATCATATCCGCCATGGCGTGGTAATTTAAGAAGATAAAACGAAAATTAATCCCTGGTTAATGGATGAGGATTAAATTTTAAAATCCTAGGTGTTAACAAATCAAAGCGCAGAATTAACAAGCTGTGTAGTTTAAAACCTGCAGACATTTGGGGTATTATGGGGGTATATATATATATATATATATATATATATATATATATGTGTGTGTGTATGTATGTTTAATTCAACAATAATTGTAATTATGTATTACATAAATTTTCTACCAAGTAGATATGCAATATTGAATAAAAGAATTTTTACATTCAATATAAAGTTGTAGAGATCGGCTAAAATATCCCCGAGTTCCAACCCCCGGGCAGATGAGGCTCGATATCTGTGGACAGCAACCCATCTCTAGGAGATAACTTCGAAATCCAACAACTGCTGCCTTTTTGTTCTTGGGTGGACATAGGTTAATGGAAAAGAAAAGCAGGCTGAAATCGAAGTCAAAGGCTTTTATGTGACACGTAATACTTAATTGTGTTGGAGAAATTCACGTCCAACATTACAAATAAGAAGGAAGAAGAAAAAAGATACTAAGTTCTTTATGAGTTATTTCCCATCTACCAATTCAAAATAGCCAAGGGAAGCAGCCCAAAACTTTGTTCAGAAAAGTTTTTTTTTAAATATAGAGATAAATTCCATCACATTAAAATTTAAAATATGGATATAAAATGTATTATTTGAGTAAACATGATATTTTAAATTGTATGCGACTTTTTGTCTAAACTTTGTAGTTTAAAGATTTTGAATACAGCTTTGGAATTTAACGAGAAAACCCTTAGTTGTACGAAATACCTAAGATGTAGTCTTAGCTCACTTGTAAGTCAAAACAATTTCTGCCAGTGTTGTTATTTCTCAACAGAACTTTAAATCATAATTGCATTTTCAGATTTAAAAATAAATGTGAAATTAGACGTTTTGCATCATGTATAAGTAAACCCTATTAAGTGAATGAAAGAACATGTCAGTGGGAAGTATTACTATTGTCAATCAGTGTCAGTCATCGCAAGCCGATGATGAAAACTGTAATACTAAAGCGAACATGAAAAGGCAAACCGACACTGTAAATTACATGTCTGAGGCAAACAAACAAAAAAATTAAAAATGAAGATAAATTTAAAAAATAACTAACGCCTTTCAAGATTAACACAAAATTATATACAAATATAAGACCTGATGTTTAATTTACTGCTATTTGAGAGCTACTATTCTACCACTCAGAATGGGTCTGGCCTCTGACTGGTTACGTTAAAGTTAAAAAGTTAAACGTAAACTCACAAACACAACAGGGGGAAAAACTCATAGAAGCAGTGGCGTAGCGAGGTCGGGTGTCACCCGGTGCGGTACTTAAAGGTGTCACCCCCCCCCCCCCCCCCCGAGGCCTAGCGACCCTTCCCGTGGACAAACTTTCAATTTTCGATTTGCACCCCCCCCCTTCCCCCCTCATACGTTCGAATTGCACTGGTGTCAACCCCTAAATGGGTGTCACCCCGGTGCGGTCCGCACCCCCCCGCCCCCCTTTCCCTCGCTACGCCTCTGAGTAGAAGAACGAGCATTTTAATTCTAGCTAGATTTTAAATCGCGTTTAATCACACAACACACCATGCCAATTTTCAGCAGAAAGATTAAACGCAGACAAAAAATTATCCACATAGTACATCTTTATTTTTCAAATAAACGTTATCAGATGAAATAACAAAGCGCTCTTAATATTTTTTTCTATTTCTTATTTTGCGAATGGATAAATCAAAGAGCATGCCATTTTTAATTCGGCTACGTACGCTAGCAAACAAATAAGGGTCAGGTAGGCCCTAACGGATTTTGTTTCTTTATCGGTAAAAAAAAAACATGTTTAATTTTTATACCATGTACCAAATGGCGTAATAGATCGCGCATAGTTGAAGAAGCGATTATAGAATAACTAGAATACCCGTCATCCGTTGGATAACTGTGGGTTTCGGGGGTCATCCATCAAAAAACATCACGTCTGTCACTCAGAGGCATAGCGACCCTTCCCGGCGCCCGGGGACAAAGTTTTCGATTTGAACCCCCCCCCCCCCTCAAACTTTTGATGTGCACCCCCCCCCCCCCACTCAAACTTTCGATTTGAACCCCCCCTCAACCTATCAATTTATTTTTTCCAAACCATTTTGGCGCCCCAACATATGCCCCCCCTCCTTCCCCCTCCCCACCCCCCGCCTCCCCTTCCCCCCCTCCCCACCCCCCCGCCTCCCCTCCCCACACCCCCCCCGCCTCCCCTCCCCTACCGTCCCCCCCCCCCCCCTCCTCGGTACGCTACTGCAGTGTCACTTATCGTCACAAAAAAACAGGACCCCACATTCAAATATATGTTTTTTATCTTTTAAAAACACCGAAAACACCGATTTCGGACTATCCCTTCATAAACTGACGTCACAGGTGACCTACTCAACTCTACTTCACCTGCCCAGTGTCCTGCCAAGTCTCAGACAACATGTTTTTATCGTTTAAAAAAACAATTCCAGCCGAGCATGTATCTGACCACACTATCCTTTCATATGCTTAGGGACAAAGAAACAGATGAACTCTACTTCACCTGCCCTGTATCTTGCCAAGTTCAGATAGGCAACGTTATCATTCACATCTAAAAAAAAAAATTGAAAAAAAAAATTTCATTGACATATTGGTCTAGAACCCGTGCCTCCTGCATGAGAGCTGACTACGCTACCATTTTAGCTATTTACTCGTGACGTCACAAGTGAATTTTTATACTATACTATGTATCTCCTTATGCAACTTGATTTACGGCGTATAGATTCTAGATCTAGATCTAAAAATAAGTCTAGTAGTACTAACTTTCAAATTAAATTTTATCTTAAATAAGCCAAACAAAGATTTATATAAAATAATTAAGGCCTGAAATAGATTCTAGATGTAGAATTTACATTAAGTCTAGATCTAGAATTTACATAGAAACCTAGTGACCTACATCTAGGCTAGATCTAGATCTAGGCTAGATTCATAAATTTCCTTCGATAGCTGATCTTTAGATCTAGAGAAATTTATTGTAAAACTAAATGAAAAAGACAGTTGAACAT